TGAACACAATATTTTTATCCTGGTTCGTTTGATCTCAAACTACTCCAGTCCACCCGTCAAGGTGATTTCGCCTCTCTCCAACGAGGTCTTAATTCACTATATTCAACTGAATATTACAGACTGCTTTAACAACTGCTAAAGCCTTCTTGATTCAAACCACAACCCGGTTTGTCAAGGTAACACTTTCTTACAAAGAGATAAAACAATGTGTGTGAATGTTTTCTACAAAACTTTATCACAACTGTGATGTATACACAAAATGAAGCTTAGAAACTAGATTGCTAAACAATAATGGAATATCAGAGTATGTGGTTTAGCAAAACTGGTAGAACGAAGATTATGGTTCAGCTTTGTGCGTGTAGAGATTTGGAGAGCATTAGCCATTATAATCTTCAAAGCCTTGTTTATATAGCACTTGAGATGATGAACGTTGAATGCAATATTCTTGATTCAATGCTAATAACAAGCTTTCCTTTTTGAGCAGATCTTGTCTGGAATGAGGCCGTTGGAATTAATTAGCTTTCAATGCACAGTACAGTTGCTTACTTAACGCAAGTTCTGGCTTGGCTCATTCTGATTCTGCTTCGCTGCTGATGAACTATTGTGTTTCTGTATCAGAGTGTTTGAGCGCAGTTCTGTTCATCAAGCTTCAGCATGTACGTGAGTTGATCATCTGATTTTGACGTTCTGATATAGCAACTTCTGATGCTGGTGTATGTAATCAAGTTCTGATGCTGAATAGACGTGATCTTGCTTATATCAATCAGAGTATCTGCAAGTCAGAACATAATAATTTTAGGCAGCAGATAGTTCATTCATGAAACTTATAAATACTATATCTTTTCACTTTGTTATCATCAAAACTTAAATATAGGGTAGTAGATTCAAACATTGTTCTAACAACTAGTTTTGCACGAGTCCTCAAGCTGGTGATCCCATCGGGCTCATCTTCTGCAGGAAGCACGATAGCCTTCAAATCAGCGACCTTCTCCTCCGGATTTTTCTTCTCGAGCAGCAATGAGTCCCTCTCCTCGAAAGCTTTGGCCGCTTTCTCCTTCTCCTTTATTAGCTCATCATCATGTGCTCAAAACTTTTCCTCGCTCTGCTCTAGGGTAGTCTTCAGCTTCTTCGCCTTCTCCATGAGAGTTGTTTTCTTCGACTCCAAATTAATCACCACGATAGAGGAACTGGCCCATTCACCCAAGAGGACCACAACCATATCCTCGACCTTTATTAAACCAACCATGCTCGACACCAGGTGTTTTCTCCTGCCCTCCTCATCGAGCCGCCTGATAATGGCAAACTCATCATTAGACACGGCCAGGGGAAACCCTTCAAAAAAATCCTTCTCAATAAAGCAAGGAGGAAGGTTGAAAGCCCGGACACACGACCCGTCCTCAGTCAAATCCACAGGCTCATTTTCAGGGCGACCCCTCTTTTTCCCCGACATGGCCGCGAGCTCAACGACATCATGAGATCCTGAAGAAGTGCTAGACACATCCTTGGTCTGCTCGGGGTTGGGGCCAAAAGAGCTATCCTCTTGCTGCTCTCTTTATCGTGGTTCAATTTCAGCAAACGTTCACGGTGTTCTGCAATCTTACTTGCAAAAACAAAAACAACATGCTCGAGTTAGTATCATCATGAGGGTGTATACGAACAGACTACAAACCAAAGGCAACAGGATTGTGTGGGCAGAGACCCACAAGAGCTACAGCATCCCCATAAGTATGACATTCAACAAGTTCCTTGTATTGATTGGGGGGCCTCGAACGTAGGTTCATCATCTACACGAAGGACATCATCTCCCTTCTGCGTCACCCACCTGGAGGGGAAGAAACTGTCAACAAATTTGTTAAGAATGATGAAGGCCCCCTCGTCCTCATTACCTAAGGTACCAACAGCAGTATGGTAAGGGTCGGGACCATGATTATAATATTCCCGACATCAACGGATAGAAAATTTGGAGATCCTCCTGATCTCTTTGTTCCCATCCTCATCATAAGAAACCTCCTTGTCCTCATCGAAAATGGTAGCCGGGTCGAACACCACATCCACGGCCTCTTGAGACACGGGTTGTACGATATACCATTTGTCCTTAAAGTCGCGGACATAGTCCATATACGTTCTAAACAATCTTTTGGATTTCTTAAAAGAGACCCAACTATACCTTCCTCCATTGTACTGCCGTTGAACAGGGGGATTATCGCTCCAATTCTAAGGTATCGGCAAACAGTCTCAAACACCCGTATAAAGGCGATCGCATTGGGGTAGTGCTGGGAAGGCGCCAGAGACAAATGATTAAATTCGCCCATTTGAAATTCGCTAAAGGGAAACCCTAAATCTTTGAAGATGACTTTGTACATGGGGAATCGATCCTCCGAGAAATTCTAACATATTATGGTTGTAGAGGACGGGCGAAAGATCCAGAAGTTTCGTCTGAAACCTTCTTGGTCGCAGCCATATTTGACGACCGTGTACGCTTCCCTCAGAGCATTACTGAAGACTAAGGTTGTCCCTCTGGGCTCTGGCCTGACCCAAGACAATGACGCATTGATGATGGTGTCGACCAAATGAAGGCCTTCGTCGGCTCCACTTTCCTCCTCTACCTCGACCTACTCGTTTGTTGTGGCAACCTCTGCTGGATCAGCCATTTCACCTGTAAAGCAGAGCAAACCAGTGAATTTGACAGATAAATCAAATCCACCCTTCCACCGCAAAACAAGTGAAAGGGGGTTGCTACGACCAAACCGCGTCGACAAACCCTCGTTCAGCGAGAATCGAACAATCTCATGAATTCCCTAAGGAGAGGATGAATTCTCTGGGAAATATCATGGGTTCAGCAAGGAGAAGATGAATTTCCCGAGCAATTTTATGAGTATTGTGAGAAGGGGATGAATTCCCCGAGCAATCTCATGAGTTCTGCAAGGAGAGGATGAATTCCCCGAGTAATATCATGAGTTCCGCGAGGAGCGGGTGAGTTTCACGAGCAAACTTATGAGTTTCGGGAGGAGAAGTATGAATGTCCTGAGGAAAAATTCCCCATATAGTGAAATTCACCCGGAAATCCATGAATTCTGCGTGGAGGCCCCTCTGACAATTTCCATAAAGTATAAAAATCATCTATAGACAAGAGTAACCGCAGAAAAACACTTACTTGATTAACGTTTGTATGGATTCTGCGGTGGAAGATGCGGCGGTGCTCACGACTGAGAGGAAAACGGATGGCAGTGAAGAGAAAGGAGGAAACAAGAACTTGGAAACATTATAAATGAGCCCTTGAGCATTATATATAAAACTTGCGCGGAAGACGAAGCGTTGCATCGAGTAACGTGTCAACTATTCATTTCTCTGTCGCCCACGCGTTTAAAGTCATAATGACCCCTACTTCTTAGGCCATCATTCTATCCTAAAAGCTACGCCACGTAGCTCGCGAAGTGATTTTCCCACCAACTTTTCGTCTCCTCGCGAGTCGGGGAGCATGTGGACTTTCCCCGCGAACATGTTCCAACTTCCATCCGAACAGTTGCCATATAAGGAGGACCCCGTCCCTCGACGAAATAGGGGACCTCGGCGAGCTACGCTCCTCGGGCTAGCAGGTTAGTCTTAACTCATAGCTCCTCTCCTTAGGAGAAACGACTTGGGGGCTTCTGTTTTGGACTGAACCCACACTTGGCCCAAACGTCATACAAGGCGCAATCTAACTACACTGCAAGATAAGACCAGCAGGAGTGAGTCTACCCTTGACTATGTCGGGCAGTGATTCCACTCCTCACACCGAGGATATATCCTCTGAGAACATCCTCACTACATAATTGCCGAGGAGGATCAGCAACACCAGGAGGCCCACGCGAGCACCCTCCTCGTAGAGCAGACGCCCAATGTCTTTGAATATCACGATGTCCTCTTGGCTTCGAAAAGACCGCATCCATGTATCCTTGATAGTTCGAAGCATTTCATTCAGGATGGAGACCACGTGCTGGTCTTCACAACACATGTAGGTCCTGACAGTCTCCATTTTGGGTCTGCTTACCCAGCCCAACATGGGGACCTTGACTCAGCGCTGGGATTATAAATATCCTCTCACTTGAGAGGGTCAAGTATTCATTCATTCACTCTTACTATAGTACTTGCACTCTGATTGCTCTCGTTCTTACTTTGAAATCGAAGTACCTTGCAAGTACACCCTCCTCCACTTCACTTTCAACAATTGTCATTCAACTCAAGCTTGTGGGCCAGTGACGATTCCTTCTTATCAGGTACGATCAACATGCATCTTTAAGTTTCCTTAAGATTATAATCTCGTCCCCCTGTCTCACTGACTACATTATAAAGGTTGTAAAAACAAGAATGAAGAGGATACATATTTATTATTGCTGAAACCCAACATATATTTAATGGTTCTAAAACACAACTCATTAACAAATTAATCCACAAACCGAAACAACCAAGTCCGATATACGAAAAATGTAAGGATCATATATGATGTCTGGAAGACCCTAATCGCTTTCCAGAACCGACCCACCGTTTACCACCGCTCGATGGAAGCCAAACTCACCGACTCTGTTGTCGGTCTCCGTCAACTTTTATACTGATTTCTAATTTTGACAATCTCAAAAGATATTTTCTTTTCTATTTATCACTTAGTATTTTAAGATATTCTTCCATAAATAATTATTTAAAAATACAAAGAAGAAGCCAATATTTTAAAAGTTAAATCATATTTTGAAAATACAATAATATTTTTTCCTTAAAAATCATTTTGAAAATTCAAAAGGAGATCAACATAAATGGAGTTACTTTTTCTTAAATCGCCAATAACGATTTCATCTTTATTATGTTTCTATTTCGACTCTCACTATTAATGGACTTACTTATTTACACATGTTTCCCAATTAATTTTTCTTTAACAGTTTTTAGTTCTATATTTATCTCGTTGTGTGTGTGTATATTAGACTAAATTTACAAGTTTATGTAATATCCATTTGAGGCAAATACAAACGATGGTTAGTAAAATATAATTTGGTCATTTGCATATTCTCTCTTTATTTTTTTATATGATGTTTTCATTCATTATTTGTCTAATTAATCTTACAGGAATTGTTTATAGTTTGCATTTTGATCCTTTCTATTGCTTCATGCAACTCATGGAATGTAAATGGTCAGAGTAAAGAGTTGAATGTGATTCAATATGGTGCCAAAGGAGATGGCAAAACCGATGATACCCAAGTAAGTATATACATTAAAAAAAAAAACCAAAAAACCTTATAAAAATAGACTGAAAAAAACTCAAATATTAAAATTTATGTCAATCAGGTAAATACAATAACCTCAATATACATTCTTTTTGGTTATAAATATAGATTATTCATAATTACAATAATTCTTTCATTTTTAATTTCAATACACATTATTTTTTTTCAACAGGCTTTTATGAAAGCATTCAAAGCTTTATGTGATGGTAAAAATGGGAATATCCTGTTGGTGCCAGAAGGTCGTTCATTTTTTCTGCGTCCAACGTTAAATTTCACTGGCCCTTGTTATTCTAAAAATATTAATATCAAGGTACAAGAATTTATAAGCATTCATATTAATTAATTTTTTTTTCTCTTCGAATATAATATGAGTTTAATGACATACATTTACAATTTGAAATAATTTTACACCGTCGTCCAATAAAAAATTAATAATAATTTTAAAATATAAAAATGATTTAAGAAAATATTTGTTACTCATCAGTTGAGTATAAAATTTGTATCTCCTATTTTCTCATATAGTATTAAATAATAACTTAATTATATCAAATGTTTGCAGATAAATGGAAACCTATTAGCACCTAATAGAAATGATTGGGGAAAAGATTGTGCATTATACTGGATTCATTTCTCTCAAATAACTGGATTGACACTTGATGGATCTGGAGTTTTCAATGGTAACGGTGAAGGCTGGTGGGATAGGGTAAATATAACAAACACTTATATATAGGGTAATTCTGATTTATCGAACAAAAGATATTTGATAATATCGACACTGACACAAAATTCATGTACGTGATTATGTTCAATTTATTCATTTATTAAATCATTCATTATCGGTAACATATTTGGAGAAAAAAAAACATGTTTAAGATATGTTTTGGTAACATATTGGAAAAAAAAACATGTTTGATGTTTAAGGTTTGTTGGTAAACATAACATATTTGGAAAAAAATGTTTGATGTTTAAGATGTGTTGGTAACTTACACTAACATGAAACTGATATAACTGATATTTGTGATTATGGGTTCTATTTATTCATTTTTATAAATCATTTATTATTTGTAACATTAAACAATGCACTATTTTAAAATTTGCAGGTGAAAGGAAGTGGGAATTGCCCTAGAATACCATCAGTAAGAAACTCTTGTTATTTTCATTTAAATAAATCTATGAGGATTGGATTATAAATTATAATATATTTACTTATTAATAACTGTATTAATATTCTTTTTCATCTCAGGTTTTTTAACCTCAGATTCTTAAACTCTTTAAAAAAAATTACTATATTAGTCTTTTTATCTAATTAACGATAAAAAAAATTTAAAATTTAACCGTTTAATGTGATATTAATTAGACAGAAAAAAGACTTATATAATAAGTTTTGAAAATTTTAAAAATTAATATAAACTTTTTTAAATTAAGAAATCAAAATAAATTTTGATATTAGCATAAGAGACATAAATAATTTTAATATGCAGGCTATACAATTTGATCATTGTGACGGACTTCAAATAACTGGGCTCACTCACATCAATGGACCTGGACCACATATTGCTGTGACCGATAGCAACGATGTAACTATTTCAAAAATTTACATTAATTCACCACCAAATAGTCACAACACCGATGGAATCGATTTAACAAGAACAACTCGAGTTAATATTCATGATTTTTCCATAAATTGCGGTAAATATACATTTTTTTCCTCACTTTTTATCATATTTAACATTATATATACAACCATGACCAAATTATATTTCCTTTTTGCCACTATCTATAATTTGATATATCATTCTAATATAACATGTATAATTTTTTCTTTTATAGCTGATGATTGTGTTGCTATCAAAGGTGGAGCACAATTTGTTAACATAAGTCAAATTACATGTGGACCTGGAAATCACGGCATTAGGTTTGTCAAAATATTCGAAATTTAGATTCATAATTCAACAATAACTATTATATTTGACCATATTAATTTTCATAAATGAATAATTATTTTTTGACTGATTTAAAAATTGAATTGCTAATTTATGTTTTTTTTTCTCATGCAGTGTTGGGAGTTTAGGAGGACATGGTGCAGAAGAATTTGTACATCATTTGCATGTCAAAAACTGCACAGTCAATAAAGCTGCTAGTGGTGTTAAAATCAAGACATGGCCGGTAAATATTGCTACAATTTTAAAATCAAATAAATTAAACAATAACACTATTACTTTTTCTTAAAATAATTAACAAAAAAATTTATATATTTTTTAGGGTGGAAAAGGATATGTCTCAAATATCATGTTTGAGGATATTCAAGTATATGAAACAAATTTCCCTGTAAATATTGACCAACATTATATGAGGAACCCAGAACAGGTAAATATAAATATTTTTTATGAATTTTTTTAATGAAATGAAATGCATAATTATTTTTTGTTTTCTTTTTTTGGTTGCAGCCTCAAGCATTAAAGATAAGTAATGTCACATTCAGTAATATCCATGGAACATGTGTTGGTGAAGATGCTGTTGTGTTGGATTGTGCTAACATAGGATGTCACAATATTAACTTAAACAAAATCAACATTGTTTCAATTAATCCAAAGATACCAGCTTCTACAAAATGCAAAAATGCTCATGGAAAAGCTACTAATATCATTTCACCTAAAGGGTCTTGTGTCAATTAATAGAGACACTTCATTTTGTATACCTCAACATAATAAATTAGTTGTTGTTGTTCATGTAGATGAAGACCTTAGCTGCATAATCATAATTAAGTAGGATTCTATTTAGATTGATCCGATTTAAAATACAAGTTTTTATAATAGCAAGAATTTGTACACTCACATGATCAATTTTTATGAACTATCTAGTACACTTGGAGCAAACAACTTTTCTAATTCCAGTACCCTGCTAAGGAAAATAGCACCTTCACACCAAAACTATGCAAAACATTCAACAATACTTATCCCTAACCCTATAAGCTGACACTGCACTTCAATGTACTGATCAAAATAACCATCCCTTAAAGACTTTCTGGGAGTTGGTTTTTGGAGGGGCTTTGAAGGGTTGCGTATGTATCTTAAAAAGTGTTTATGATTTTATATGCTAATGTGTAATATTGTTTTTTAAACTTTTTAAAAATATCACAAATTTCAAGATATAGACGATACTCTCCAAAGTCTTTCCCTCTGAAACCTTCAAAAAACCAACTCCCAAACAATCCCTTAAGATAATTTCTTTCATTCACAACCAAACACCAAACATTGTCTGTATCATCATCTCCCACTTCACCTAAAGCAACAAAGCTTAACTTTAATGTTTCAACCATCCAACTCAAACACCATACACATCACTAACACGTCCTAACATGTCGATATATTATTAGTAATAATTTGGACAGAACAGAAATTATTAAATGTCATCACATACGGAAAAGTGGTGTCAGCATCAAACACGGAAAAGGCGAATACACCTTCCACTTAAAGTATGCATTCTACAAAAGTAACTAGAATGTAATTGTCATAAATTACTAGAATGTAATTGTCATACATAATATAGTTATAGAGTAAACATATAATGAAAGCTACTAGAAAGTAGAAACCACTCTAGCTTATAAATTTGCTATATCACTTGTTTATACTATAAAATAACATATTTATATTGGTATTTTATATGAAGATTCATTCTAACATTTGATTCACAATTCATAAAATAGGTCTTCCGATTCACGATTCACAATTCAATTCACCATTAAATAACAATACTCTGAAACAACTAAACTTAACAACAGAAGATTATTATCATGAAAAAACTAAGGCCTCAAATCTCAATGTATAAACAAATCAACCATGAACATTATGCAGAAGCATTACCTTCCTGATGACCAGCAAACGCAGTAGCTACTGAAACAGTTCCATCCTTGGTTTCAACAACTAGAACAATCAAGCACAGTAAACCAAATACAACATTCTGAAAAGTCCTAATTTGAAGAATCGTCGCGACCTATGTGTCGTTAAACCCTAATTTTCTTGTAGTGAGTCTGAGGAAGATAAATAGGACTAGTAAATTAACTTCTGGTGAATAGATTCAAAACACATTTGGTGCATCCCATACAATTTTCAAAGATAATTGAATCAGACTCATAATGTACTCACTTTTCTTAAGCTTGCTCGGTATCACCAGGAAGTGAAAACAGAGACTCTGTATACACAACCATTTGGGATCTATATGAGTAACAGATATGATCAGAGCGATGCTCCTCTAGGAGCTGTCCTTTGTTATTAATCTTCACCAATCGATCAGAGTTATTTGTTCCAACTATATCACCACAATTTGTAAGACATACCGGGCAAAACCATAGAGCAGGGAGTATGTCAAAAACAAGAGTCTTAGTCCAAGATGAATGCCCTTCATTATCTTGCATCACCCATAAACTAAATGTATCCATCTCTCTAAACCATACACCGATAAGTCCGCCAAACACCATCAAATTATGATCTATAGGATGACAAAATTCATCTGGCAGACGTATCTCAGTGATAACCATTTCCTCTAAATCAAAGGCAATAATAACATCCTTAGAGATCTCGTGATTAACAACATGCCAATAAAGAGCCCCATTGAGAAACAACCCGACTTCAAAACATAGTCCAGATGAAGCATAAGGTAAAAGAGAATCACCCGGAATTAGTTTCCATTTATTATCCCTCAATGAGAAAATCTCAAAGTCAATGGAACTAGAATCACTGTGTAGGTAGTACCCGAAAACTACCAAGTAATCATCCCTTAACGAGTCGTATCCAAAGCCATACATAAACATGGAAAAGTCCCACATAGACATGGAACTACCATGAATGGTTATGGGAGAGGCAGGTATTTGTTTGTGGAAACCTGTGGATGGATTCCAAATGTAGAAATCAGTGGAAATGTGCAAAAACAAAAATCCTCGACAGGAACCTCCAATTTCAGCACAACCTCGGGTCAAAAAATCAAAGTTCAGAGAAGCATAAGCAGAAGGATGGTTAAGAGGTGCATCAAAATCTATGGATAGGAATTTACAAGGATAGTTGTGTGTGATTACGACAAGTCTATCTGTGGGTGAGGCAGCAAGTTGAAAATGGCGAGTAGCAAAATCGGGATTAGAGATGAGAGAGAGCCATGTTTTACAGACGCACTTGCAACGTAATAGAGTCTTCACCGGCAATCTCAAGAGGATTTCGATTATCAGTTCATGAGGAAGATGCACTCTCTTCTCCAACAGGATTGCCATTTTGAACTTCAATACCGCGGTCACATACCTACTCGCGTCTCCGCGCAATGGCAGCACCACCGGACCTCCGACGAGTTCGCTGCAAGCCCCCACGGCCGGAATCCGTCACCCCCTGCGCTACTCCGGCAATCCCTTTTCGCCGGCAACCGCGAAGCACCTACTAAGAGCAATCCGCCGCTGGTTCTTAAAGGTTAGATCGTTGTGTATTTTTGCTGTTGTTGGAGAAAATTTTGAAGGAACAGAGAGATATTTCGTTTGAGAGAGAGTGAGAAGCGTGGAAACACCAAAATAGAGAGATAATCGTGAGAAAGAGATTGTGAGGCAGAGAGAGAGTTTTTTTTTTATTTTTTATAGTTTAATTGTTTTGATTTTGTGAGATTTATTAGGAATAATCAAACAAGAGGAATTAACATCCTATTCCCAAATTATACATCTCATTCTCCTTTTTTGTATTCTAGAATTACTTTTATTGAATTACAAATAAATTTTCGGATGAAATTTTTAGTAGAGTTATTAAAATTTTTAATATAAACGAAAAATTCGGGTACACCTCAACAAAATTATTGGTATATGTAAATTTCTGGTAATATATTTGAAAATTTTGGTATTCTGGAAATTTTAAATTTATCAGGCAGTATCAGAAATTTGAGATATATTAAAAATTTTGGTAGTTCATTTATTCAATTTTTTAAACGGTCGAGATTTTGCCGACATCTTTGAAGGGTCCTGATTGCACCGATAAATTTGTGTGGTTTAAAATGCATCGTCATTTGTATAAATAGGGGCAAATGTTATAAAGAAAAATATCTCAAACAATGTATTTTCCTCAATTTGTGATTAAGGCAGGAGTATATTTCAACAGAAACAACCCTGCTATTGAATCCAAACTTCCAGATAGCATCACATCCTTCGACAACTTGAAAGACAAGTTGAATGAACTGCTGTCTGATTCCGATAACAGAAGGGTGACAAAGATCGAGTTTTGGGAAGACTGAATTGATAAAAATGAAAGAGTGAAATACAACCTGATTGAGTTGAAAATCGATGAAGATGTGAAAGCCATGTGGAAATCATTTCTCCGTAGGAAAACTAAAGGTCTGATGGAGTTGGATGCGAAGATCCGAAGATCCGTCGACGACATGATGAAGATGCTAAAACATCTAGAATCATCCGGTAGTGCCTAGGTTTTCATGTTTAGTTGTTTTTTGCTTTATGTTTGTTGTATTGTTTTATGTTATGTTCATCATCGATTCGAAATATGTAATCGCCAAAATATTATGCAATGAATAAGAATTTTGTGTGTCACAATATATATATATATATATATATATATATATATATATATATATATATATATATATATATATATATATATATATATATATATATATATATATATATATATATATAATACAACCAAAATAAAATATCTACATAGGCCCTTCACGGGCTACGTCGGCTAACCTAGCTATACATGTATAGATCTCACCACCAGGGTTTACCAAACCCATGCGGTTATCTAAATGAACTGCAATAAATTGTATGCGGTTATCCTAATCACATGCAGGTGGTGGAGGTGGTGACTCAGCAGAAACCCTAGCACGTGAAGGCCCTGAGACATCAAATGTTGCAGTCGGTGGTATAATTTGAGGATGTGACACATTGTGATACCACGACAGGTATCAATCCTCACCCTGTGAAGGATGCTGAACCATAACTGTTGTATCCATGATCTCACGGGGAGAGCTAACGATGTGACTCTGAAACCATCTATTAGTGCCACCAGCTAGAGTCGCCGGAACTGGACGAGGGATTCCCTGTGCATAACTATTGGCGTAGACACCTCTCAGGAAAGTGTCTAGTCACATGGTTCTCCCATTTAATATACCTTGAATATAAAGTAGACTCTTCAAATACACAATGAGACTAATGAGATGTATATGGTGCCCAGACGATATCCTCTACGGTCAATGCATCGAGTCTCCTCCTGCACTCCATCATACCTCTCGGATGGGCTTTCTTGCCTTTCCATCTCCCCGCACATGGAACAGTAGTCGGGACATGTTGGATCTTCCACTCACAGATGTGAGGAAAGTGCTCGTATATCCAACACTGCATAAATAAAAACCATTATATAAATACACCCAAATAACTAAAAAAAACATCAAATAAATTATTGTATACCTGAAAAAGGCTGAGGTAACCAGCAAGTTGTCTGGTCTCAGGCTGAGAAGAAATGTCAAATATCGTGTACAACATGGTCAACGCCTCCACTCCCTAAGCCCAACATAGAGTGTCAAGTGTGTTGAACAAAGACATGTAGCGAACATCAATTAAACTCCAGACTTGTCTGCAAAGAAAGTATATGCCATCAGATGTAGCATGTATGCCCTAGCGGCATCCTGGTAGATATGGTCCTCCATGAGCTCCACGTACAATTTCCTCAACCAAGACATCTGAAGGTGAAATCCCCGATTAAAGCCAAACTCCTCTAGCACCTGTGCCTCAGATACCTCCAAATCATCCATAACCATGCGCACTATCATCGCATGGTTAATATGAGGAGGTGTGAAGAATGTACCAACGATCGGGATGTGAAACAAGGCGTCGGCATCCTCCAATGTAATATTCATCTCCCCAAATGAAAGAGGAAAGGATGATGTCTCTGGGTGCCACCGCTCAACAAAAGTAGATAACAGAGAGGCGTCCAACATGGTCAAGGAGCACTGGGAAAACTCCAGCAACTAAAAATATCTAACAATGCTATTGACCTCCTCAGGCATGGGACTCTCTGGGAAGTTCTTCAAATTCGAACCATGAGAAGCGACCTTCAGCACTGGGCGCTCTTGTAAGAAGCAAAAATAAAATACATCAACTTCCAAATACTTGAAAAATTATGCAATTAAAGAAAAGAAAATATATACCTCGCCGTGCGATATCCTGTAAGTGACATGGTCAACAAATCTTGTCAGCACGAATATGTTTGAAGGTCCTTCAGAAAAGGCTCCATCAGTGTAAATTGATGGCTCCATAGATGCATGAGTCGCGGTGTCTATATCATTGGGGGACACCTTATCAACGCGCTCAGCAACAACCTCATCCACCTGCTCTACAATCTCCTCATTGTTGGCTCCATAACCTGCTCGGCTACTGGCTTAGTTGTCGGCTCCACAACAGGCACAACCTCCTCAATATACTGCTCAACCGTCAGCTCAATCACAGGCACATCCACAGGAGCAGGAGCATGTACCTCCTTGGCAGTAGAATCTCTAAGTCCTCGACAGCAGGGTGCGCAGAACTATGTCTGTTGCGCAACCAATTATTTCCTGTGAGAACTTGTCATAGCATGTCATCTAGCCCGTAGCTCAGAAGCATATGCCTTGTCAATCTGGGCCTAAGATTCTGCTATATCGGCCACCCTACCTGCAACAGAACCATCTTTGCCTCTGGTTTTCACTAAGACATTGAAAAAAAATTAAGAAAATATGTACTACCGGAATTTTCTAAATTTCCGGTATTTTTCAAAACAAAATTGAACTACCGGAAATTTCAAAATTTTTGGGTACATGCTGTTAAGCTCCGGAATTTTCGAAATTTCTGGTATAAAAGATAAATGTATTACTCAGAAATTTCAAAATTTCCGGTTCAAATATACCCGATTTTTTTTCGATATAAAGTACCGAAAATATCACAAATCTATCGTAAATTCCTTACTTGTTCAGCAAATTCCGGGTATCGCCTATAAATTTCCAGTATCACATAAAATAGTCCAAAAGCAGTCCAAAAACCTACATAAAATAGTCCAAAAACCAATCATTAAACAGTTCAAACCTTGCACAAAGATGTATCAAACAAAAACTGCATCAAAAAAAGTAACAAAGCAAGGCATCACAATTGTTCAAAAGCTATCCCATTTCCCCCTTGTTGTACCCCAAAATTTCCCCTTTTTTTTCTCAAGACATTTCTCACAAAGATTTTCAAAAGCTCATGTTTGCACAAGTATTGACTAGGTTAAGCCACCTCCTCAACACTAATACCTCAGAATTAGAGTTTGAGTTTGCACAAGTACAATTGGATTTTTAATGCCCCATATAGTTTCCATGGATCATATTTGGCTTTCAAGCATCAGGTCGAAGAGAAAATTGTCAAAAGGGCAAAGTAGATCAAAAGGTGTGTAGATGCAGATAACCATGTCGAATTCAAAATCTGGTTCAGGTTGTTCAAACCACACGACTGGTCGAAAGGGTTGGTTGGTAGATTTTTGACAAGTCGAAGAAGAGAAAGCTTGCTTCGATCCCCAAGCTTCGACAGGGCAATGGCTTCTTTGAGCAACCTTCTTCGATCCACTTTCTTGCTTCGATCCACAAGCTTCGATTGGGCAATGGCTTCTTCGAGCAACCTGTTTTGATCCACCTCCTTGCTTCGATCCACAAGCTTCGATTGGGCAATGGCTTTCTTCGAGCAACCTGCTTCGATCCACCTCTAAACCCTTCGACACACATAGTTTCGACACTATGAATTACAATTTAACAAAAAAAATTGGCTGATAATAGTTCATTGCAAGAAGAAGGTACTGGCAACATAGTCTTTCAAATGAGTAATGGAGGAAAAGTTATGATTAAAGATGTGCCCTATGTATCTGGAATGAAGTGCCACTTGCTAAGTGTTGGACAACTAGTCGAAAAGAGTTTCTCAGTTGTCATGAAAGATGGAGTTTTGAGATTGTTTGACACCAAGAACAATTTGGTCTTAAAATCTCCGTTGTCAAAAAACAAGACATTTAAGATAATGGTCAATTCGACAGAAGCTCAATGTTTGAAAATTGTTCGACCACCAGGATAGTTGGTTGTGGCATTTGAGGTTTGGACATTTGAACTTTCGATTACTTAATCAATTGATTAATCAAGATATGGTTAATGGTAGGAAAGAAACCCATAAATTCTTTCGTTTCGACTATGCCAATGAGATCATCTTGCATACTCAAAGTGTTACATTCAGAT